AAAAAGTGTGAGGATGTATGACTTGGCTTAGCACTTTAGCCTGGGCTTAACCTAAGTTGTACCTTCTGTGGCTGAGTGTGTGCACAAATCACTTACAGGCCATGCTGAAAGGATCTTGTGTCTTCCTCAGTCCCTGCAGTGGATAGAGCTTTCATTTACTTTGTGTGGAATATTATTATCCCTTTGCCAGTAAACACAGATATAATAGCACTGCCCTAACCAGCAGGTGATTCTGGATGGAAAATTACATCCCTCACCCTGCAATGAGCAATAGCTGGGAACTTCCAGGAGGTTTTGTGTCCCTTCAAAAGGATGTGTGCACAGCTCCTTTGCTCTTTGATGCATGGTCACACTGAGGAGTGGGAGGTGGAGGTGTCAGGGATCCTCCTGAGGTGACAAACCTGTGCTGGCAAAGAGAGCACACAGGTTCCTCCAGCCTGTTGGCACCCACTGGCACTATCTCCCCTTGCAAAGAGGTTTTGCAAGGGTTTGCTGAAGCTTTCAGTGAAGCTTTTGGCTGCAGCTGGTTCTTCGGCTCCCTGAATTCTCTGTGGAGCAAGAGTCAGAGAACACCAAAAGTCTTGGAGGGTTTAGGGTTGTTTAGGAGGTTGGTTTTGCCAACTGAGCAAAACAATGAGCATTTCCTTTCCTGAGGAATCCCAAATATTGCCATTTCGTTCCAATTTGTAATGAAAACACAATTGGAAAAATGCAGGGTTTCTTGCAAGATGGAAACCTCAGACTTGACTTCAGCTGGAGAAGGCAATGCCCTGGTCATGTGGGGCTGGCTGGGAGGGGGATAACCTCAGTCTCCCTTGCACAAACTCTTCAGTGTGGATGCTCACTGCTGCTTCTCTTCCCCCACCTGCCCAATACTCCAAGCAGGACCTGACACAGACCTCCAACAGTCTGGAGGAAGGGGCAGACGTCACCGCGTACTGGTGGGGAGAGTGGACCAAGTGGACAGCGTGCACCAGGACCTGTGGGGGAGGTGTCAAATCCCAGGATAGGCACTGCCTGCGGCAGAGGTAGGGCACACACGTGGTGGGGTGGGGTGGACTCCAGCTTGTTGGAGGTAGACTTGATCTGGAAGGTCATCTGGAAGGTGTTAGGTAAGCCCTGCTTGGGCAGATGTTGTGTCCCTCCCTGCCAGGAGGACTAGTCAAGTTACTCCTGTGCTGCCCTTGCAGTTTCTCCAGCAGGAATAGTGCAGAAGCAGACACAATGTAAACCCATTCCTAAGGCTTCTGGGCACAGCAGAGAGGTCCCACTGATCCTGGCTGCTCTGCACGTGGCTCTGCCCTCTCTGGACTGTGTGGTTGCCAAAAGACACTTTGCAAACCTTGTCCCCAGGCCCTCACCCCAATGATATCTCCTAGAATAGTTGAAGCTGTGGGTAACAAAGCCAGAGCTTTGCTGCCAACACGTAAACCCATTCCTAAGGCTTCTGGGCACAGCAGAGAGGTCCCACTGATCCTGGCTGCTCTGCACGTGGCTCTGCCCTCTCTGGACTGTGTGGTTGCCAAAAGACACTTTGCAAACCTTGTCCCCAGGCCCTCACCCCAATGATATCTCCTAGAATAGTTGAAGCTGTGGGTAACAAAGCCAGAGCTTTGCTGCCAACACCAGTGAGACCATGATAGGTCTGTGTGGCTCTGCTACATGGACACTGATCTTACAGGGGCAGGGGACAGATATGTCTAAAGAGGGAAAAAAAAGAGTTGCTGACCTCTGTCTAACCATCCTTTCTTTACTCAGAAGAAAGTCAGTGAGTGGGCTGGCTAACAAAACTTGCACTGGAACATCCAAAAGATACCAACTCTGCAAAGTACAAGTAAGGATATCCTTTGTCTTGTTGGCAGCACTCGATACAGACTGTGCAAAGTCGGGTTCTCTTTGTGCAATGGCATTTCTGGGTCCCTTGGAGAGGAGACACCATTTCTCCTTTAGCTGTCACCCCATTGCCTCTCCAAGTAACAGGGACTTCCCTACTTTGGTGCCCATCACCGCCGTGTCTGGGCTTTGGACCATAAAACACAGTGGATGGTTCTTGAACCATCTCCCCTGGGGGTTTCCCCCTAGCTGTCCCTGCAGTGGGAGGAGGAGGATATGGCCCTGGATGGGGAAGGTGATGGAAACACTCCTTGCAGCTGGTCACGATGTGCCAGAAACCTTTCCCACACTTTGTTTCCATCAGGATGTTAATGTATCCCATTCTAGGAGTGCCCTGCGAACGGAAGGAGCTTTCGAGAGGAGCAGTGCTCATCATTTAACTCCCATGTGTATAATGGCAGAACATATCAATGGAAACCTTTATATCCTGGTAACAAGACATTCTTTGTATGTTTCATAATGCTTAGCCAAATATTTTGATAGTTATGATGCTACAGCCTGCAGGAAGGCTCCTCCTCTGCTGTTTGAAAGTGGTTTTTCGGAGACACAATCAGCTGTCTCCCAAGTTCAAAGGCATGTTTGGCAGCTGCAGGGTAGCTTAAAAATTAAATAACAACATGAATTTATGGCTGTAGCTTGTGTTGGTCACAGATCCTGAGGACTGGAGGGCTGAGAGGCTGGGGAGGACACAAGAGGATGTGGTGATGGATTGTGCTGGCTCACCCGGACAAGTGTCCTTTGAGCTGTGACCATTACTGGGTGCTCTGGATTTCGGTGACATTTGTTGCTCCCACGCCCTCTGTGTGCTCTGCCAAAGGTCACTGAGATACAGTCAGTCAGCATGGTCATCTGGGGTGAACGACACAGAACTGCAGAAACAAGTTGGGAATCAGAGACTGAGATTTCGTTTAAATTTTAGGCACTGAACTCCCACAAAAATCAAGCACTAAATTCAAATCATGACCCAGTTTTCGAGCTATTGGGAACCCAGGGCCCTTCTCCTGAAAAGGAGGCTCCTTGAGTGATGGTTCTTCAGATTCACAGTGCCATTTGAGAGCCTAAAAATAGAGGTGGGATCTCTTGCAGCTTTATTTTAGGGTTGTCTGTACATACCTAATAACAATGATCCTTCTTTAAATCAGTTGTTCCATCCTTTCCTGTGTCATCAGCCCCTGCCTCACCAGCCTTGGCAGGGTCAGCAGGATAGAACTTGGCCTGTGAGCTATAGCTCCTTGGCGGCTTTGTCCCTTTCCTATGGCAAGCTGACAATTTCTTTAAACACCTTTGCTCTTCAAGCTGATTCACCAGAGTGGCTACAGTGAATGGTTTTGTGTTTTAGCAGCATTCACGTGGCTCCTGGGGGATCTGCAGAATAATGTTTTGACACTGATCCTGCCTTGCTTGGGTGCACAGGCCAGTGGGTATATGACTGCTCAGGAGCTGGTGGGGATAAACACTTGGCATTGGGTTTCTGATGTAGATATGAGTTTATCATTTGCTTCCTGTGGAGATTATGAAACGTGAGATCCCTGTGCTGGTGGATGCTGAAGTCAGTTGTTGTCTGCAGGAAGCAAAGGGTGAATTAAGTCCAACTTTTGGGTGAATCTTGATGGAAAACTTACGTATTGTAGAATGTTTTAAGCTTCTATGGTTTTGAATATAGTCTCATATATGTACCTCTAACAATGAATCTGTTAATTTAACTTGTGTTAAATGTTGCTGTGTGAACAAGCATATGTTTTTGTGTAATGTGTATGTGTATCACTGCTGCAAGTCCTTGCACAGGACAGTGTTGCTGCTTCAATGCATGCCCTGAGCTGATGCTGGTGATGCCACTGGCATCCCTGGGGCATCTCTTGCTGGCAGCAGAGAGGATTGCCAGGCTGTGCAAAGACTTGCAGAGTGAGCTGTCATGCTGTCAGAAGTGCCATCTCCTGTCCAGCCCAGGACACAAGAGATGGCAACTTCTGGCCTGCTGGCTGCTCTGCGGTTGTGCTGCTGTTACTGTTGTTTAGCTTGGCAGGGATTCATTGACTTTGGTAGGATGAAAGTTATTGTGTTTCTGCTGTTTTTGAATCTCTCTTTATATCCTTTCCCCTTAGATGACTATGTTCACATTTCTAGCAAGCCCTGTGACCTCCATTGCACCACTGTGGACGGTCAGAGACAGTTAATGGTTCAGGCTCGGGATGGAACATCCTGCAAATACACTGATTTCCGAGGGGTTTGCGTGTCTGGAAAATGTGAGGTTGTTAAACATTATAGCAAAAATATTGTTAAGTAGCATTCAGAAAATCGCAATGGGTGCGACGTTTGCCTGACCCTCAGTGCTCTATTTGTGCATTATTTTTTTTTTAGCCCATTGGCTGTGATGGCATTCTCTTTTCCACCCACACCTTGGATAAATGTGGAGTTTGCCAAGGAGATGGGAGCAGCTGCACCCACGTAACTGGCAGTTACAGGAAAGGAAATTCTCATCTTGGTAAGACCTTGGGGACCTTGAGATTTATTTGTATCAGAGGGCTGTTTTTTAAATATACTTATTATTTGGTAAATGTCTTTCAGCTCTTACCAGCTGCCCAACTTCAGTTTTTCCCACGTGTTCTATGTGTGTTCATGCCACTTGTAAATTTGGGCAGCAAAACAAGTTAATGTGCATGGTGGTTGTCAGAACCCTGAGGTGTCTGATGCTGAATGGTGCACAAGGGTTATGCAAGATCCTGGTGCCTATTTTAGTCTTCTTTAGTCTTCTAGCTGAACTCAGGATGCTCCTGACCCATTAAAACTGGAAAGAAATGATTTGTAATAACAGGAAGCAACAATATTTTGAAAGAGCAGGATTTCCAAAATTAGTGTGATGCAAAACAGCAGAACCTACTTGTCCTAAATATAACAGTCTAACTCGGGAATTATGATTAATGCTCTCTGAGGATCTCTGAGGAGATGAAGTAAGCTGCAGGAACTTCAGTGGCTGGAGGAGGACTTGTCCCATCTCATCTCTTGCCTAGTGCTAAGCAAAGGGGAATCAGAGGAGAAACCAATTGTGATCTCTTGCTGTAATCCCTGCTAGCACAAGGATCAATACTCACCCACAGTACAGCTAATAAACCTATCTTCAGATGTCTTTTCTTACACCCATTGAGATAAACATGCTATTTACACATGTAAAGATTGCATCATTTTCCCCCTTTGGATGTTTTTTCCCATCATAAACTGGGATGAACAGTTCACACACTTGCCTATTATGGCTAAAATTGTATTTGCAGCCTAACAGTGATCAACATTAGGGTTTTTTTAATCCCTAACTCCTTAAAAATACTTCTGGGTCAAGGCCAATGTGTGTGATATACTGCAGTACTGACTGTGGAGTGTCTCATTCAGATTAGTTGTTACAAAGATCCTTTCATTAATCTGTAGTTTCCCGTAGGATATTCCCTGGTAAC